TGTGTGTGTGTGTGTGTGTGTGTGTGTGTGTGTTCACTTCTCACGGCTGTGTGTTCACTTGGATGGATTAAATGTAGGGCACAAATTCCAAGTATGGGACACCATACTTAGCTACATGTCATGTCACCTAACTAAAATAAGTTTAAGATACTTAAACTTACTAAAAAAAGTACTAATATTACTAAAACAGAAAAAAAAATAGAAATATTCAAACAAATAAAAATGGCAAAAATGTGTTTAAGATCCATCAACAGAATCGAACAACAAACCACTGTGTTAAAGTTTTTTATCTTCTTCTTTTTTTCCCTTTTTTTAATGGAACTGGACACAGAATGTGCTTTCAGGCTGCAGTCTAAGGGCCTTAAATTTCCTGCCACAACAGATGAATGGACCATGTTACAGGCAACCGAAGTGTGAGGGACCCATTTGCAGAAGCGTAATATCCATGTGTAATCACATGAAGCGCAGGGACTCCATACCTGACCACCTAAACCCAAACACAGGCAATATGCGTCACTTGCACTTATTTTGTAATCATGGGGCTCTGTGTGTGTGAGTTTAGAGTCTGTCATCACCGTGCTTGTGAAAAGGGTAAGAAGTGATGAGAGCTGACACAATAGTGAAAAACCAAGAAAGAGCGCAGATGGAAAATGTCAGATTACTCATATCAGATGTATATCACGTATAAATCTCCTGTTACAGGGAAAAAACATGCATGCTTCGGAGACAACGTCAACTTTGGTTAAAACTTTGGTTAAGAAAAAAAGTGTGATTCCAAAAGGATGAAATCATAATATATTATAGAAATAGTTCATATAACAACTCACTTTCATGCTGTTTCAAACCTGTAAGAGTTTCTTTCTTCCATTGAATGCAAACAAAAAGATTATTTGATGAGCGTGTTACTCTTTTCTATGCAGTCACAAAGAATGGAGACTGAAGCTTTCAGGCTTCAAAAATGAAGCAAAAGAAACATAAACATATTATAAAACTAGTTAATTTAACTCACGCAACTCAAGTCTTTTAATGACAAAAAATAACTTTTGGTCAATGGAGCGGATTATAATTTAAGTTGTTATTCACTGCAAATCTTGAGACCCTGGGCACCATCATGAATGATTTGTGAATGAATCATTATTTGAGTCGGATCTTTTTAATTAATAATTTGGTCTGGTTAACAAGACCGAATCATTGAATCAGACTGAATCAGTAATAGAGAACTCCTTAATACCGAACTGATTCAATGATTCTGAACTGATTCAGTGATTACCAGTGAATGACGATTTACATTTCAGTCTTTTCTCACACAAAGTTATTTTATGCTTTCAGAAGACTTTGAATAAAGTGCATAAGTAATATACACTCTAAAAAATGCTGGGTTGTTTCAACCCAATGTTGGGTCAAATATGGACTAACCCAACTGTTGGGTTAAATTTTGGTTACATTTTTAAATTAACTTTTTAACCCAACAGTTAGGTTAGTCCATATTTGACCCAAGATTGGGTTGAAACAACCCAGCATTTTTTAGAGTGTACAGTAGGGTACATTTATATTTTTTGTAATGATTATTTTTTGTGTGTTCTTTTTGAAATTTGAAAGACTCAGTCCTTATTCACTGTAACTGCATTAAAAGGGGACAAATACATATAAGGGTTGAAATGACATGTGGGTAGGTAAATGACAGATTTAATTTTATTCAGTGGCAGCATGGTAGTTTCCCTATGGGTGTATGAGTCAGTATCTTAGGTAAGCAATGTGTGTAATATCACAGTTTTGGTGTGTGCCTGGTTTTTGCAGTCTCTCATACCCTGAAGCGGCTGATCAGGTCGTATCTGGTGAGCAGTTCATACACCAGGAACTTCAGAGCGTGTTCACTACTCGCCTCTTGAAGTGTGAAGACGTCAAATGACCATTTATCAACATCCTGAAAAAGAGGAATACTCTTACAAGCTGGTGGCGGACATACAACATTAAGGAAACAAACTAAAGCCATATTATGATCTACTGTAAAGATAATCTGTACCTTTAGAGCTGTAATTACAGATGGTGGATAGGTCAACCCTGCCATATTGGATGTCCTTCTGTACATTCTGCGAACACAAACCATCATACGTTTATTTTTTTTCTATGACCATGGCTGACAGCTTATTTTTAACAAGGTACATTTCAGTACAGATTTTTTTGTGAACCAGTCACAATGTAATGCTGAATTTGAAAATTGCATTTGAGTAGCTGACACTGAATACTTTTTTGAAAGCTGATGTTCTATGGTTCTTCTGTATACTCCATCTAAAACTACTTTAAAAAGCATGCTGCTTGTTCTTTTATGCAAGCAAATTATCTGTCACACCATGTAAAATGAACCAGTACAGGCTAAAGGTGATTCAAATGGTGAGAAACTTTTGAATTTAACCTAAAATATAAATTATGTTTATGATGTCTAAATTATGATTGAACCCTTTAAGCTTACACTGTAAGTGACATTATATAAAACCGTTAAATTGTTAATCACAATCAGGAGGGTTTTACTAAGGTCTAGAGTTCAAATGGAGCTTTACAGAAGCGTTTAAGAGACAAAGAGGAGAGGATATTACATACAAGGATAAAACTGCAGAAACAACACTGGACTTTTTGGATTTTGACAGCAGCAATTAATTACAATTTGATACAACTACATGTGGTTGACTGAACCTTCACAGAACTGTATTCCCCTGTAGTCACAAGTACTGTACATTCAAGTGGGAATCAGAGCAAAGAATAAGCAGGACATAACACTAAAACTTTCCTTTTTAATGAAGCTGGAAAAGCACTTAAAATGTCATTTTACTTCTCACTGTCCAGATTCCAAAATAATAGTACATAATGTTCCAGTGTTCTTATTAACTCGGCTCTCGCTGATAAATCCCAATAATGGGAAATGAACAGGTTCACACTATGCAGAACATTTTTATGTCTCCATTCTTTCTTAATATATAGAGTAAAATAATAAACTCACAAATGCTAAAGACTGAAATCATATTAAATGATTTTATTTTATCACAAAATCACAATTGACGTGAATTTTAAATAAATAGCCTAATCATGATATGTCATCTAGCACTAGTCTTTTGTAATGTCCTTTTTATTACAATATATTATTATACAGTTCTTTAATGACATCATCCTCCAGGAAGTGGCATCATAATAAAGAAATCATTCCATCTTGTCTGATAAAATAATTAAAAAAAAGTACAATAATATTATATTATGCTACTTTAATTTTCTTGCCAATATGTAAATAATCACATTATAATTAATAAAGTTTAGGCGCATATTTCTGAACAGCTGGTTTACACTTTTATACCTCAGACTAACAGATATTTTGGATAATTTGGATGTCTTGTATCATTAAGAGAGTCCCTAACATGCGTTCGATATCACACAGCACCTGATGATCAGTGCTTCAAGCTCAACAGGTGTCTATGACATTCTGAATGAGTTTCCATGGAAATGAGGAGCTCTGCCCATGTAAGAGGGAGGCGGTTTGTGTGTATTACTCAGACGTGAGGGTACATGCCACAGAGAGGACGGCTGCAATGCAAATGAAATGGATCGAGACATTCATTTTCAGTTACTGGAAAAGATTATGCAGAACAAACCCTTAACCCTTAAACCATTTTCCCAGTTAGCAGGAAAAAACGGGCAGGTCTGTGAAATGGGACTGTCTGTATGATTTAAACTTAGCAGCAGCACATTAAATGTTAAAACAAAGGCTCTGTCTCAAAACCTAGTGAGCTATCTTGATGTCTACAGCCTACATAGGCAGCTGCCTTCAAAGGAAATATCTTGTTTGAGATGGAACCGAAGTAACTGATTTAAAACACTCCACATTCTTTCTATAAAGGCTAATGGTAGCATGTTTCTCATCAAACAACATGAAATGCTAATGAAAGATATTACAAATAAATTTAAAAACGTTAAAATGTAAAATAAATTATAAATAAAATATATATTATATATACATATTAAATATAAGAAATTATGCATACTAAATAAAATGAACTTTACTCATACTTTTCAGCACTTAATGAAATATATGTATATTGACATTTTTCTCAGTTCATCTGCCATGTTAGATTAATTTGTTCCCTAAGTTTGGGGCAATGCATTCTGGGATTGCCTTTTCCGCAAACAGTACATGCAAAGCTGGCTTTGTCAAAATTAGGTATCTTAATTTATAGTCCAGAGAGGACAGTCCATCCAAAAAATGAAAATTTTGTCATCATGTACTCACCCTCATGTCCTTCCAAACCTGTATGAATTTCTTTCTTCTGCTGAACACAAGATGATATTTAGAAGAATGTTGGTAACCAAGAAGTTTCAGTTCCCATTGACTTCCATTGTATTTTATGTCCATAAAATGGAAGTCAGTGGGAACCGAAACTGTTTAATTACCGTTTGCATTCTTCAAACGATATTAGAACGACATGAGTGGTGACAGAAATTTCATTTTTGGGTGAACTATATCAGAACCCTTCAATAAATATTTTCATGAGATTTTGGGTAAACTGTTACTGAGAATGATTCATTTAGCATAAATCACAATCAGAATCACTTTGGTCATGTTGAACATAATTATAAATCATTTCTGATTATGGTGAACATACCAACTCTTAGATAACAACAGAATAGCTACCGTTCAACAAAGATCCCAGCCTGAACGGCGTGAACGATGCTGCGAAACCGGGGCTTCTCTTCCGGCCGTCTGCGTACCACTCCCATCTTCCTGGTGAAGGTGGAGGCCAGCCAATCTCGCACCTCCATGGGCACAGAGTCTGCCTGGATATCACTGAGCTCATCCTCTGTGTCCAGAAGCCGCCTGGAGAACAAGTATTTTCACAGAGGATATTACTACAAAGAGCCTACAGCAGCTGCTGTGAAGAGCCTACAGCATGACCTGTACCAAGACAAATATTATATGTTAGTATGTGCAGTTGAAGAGTGTGCAATCTAGTTATTTGGTTGTTGTTTTTTTTAAGGAATTGTTTAAAAATATTTATTTTTCTGTTTTAAATATAGAATTCTGAATAAATATTGCAAATAGTAAAACAAAGAAGTAAATAAATAAATAAAAATAGAAAAATGAAACAGAATTTCAGTAATTCTGTGCACACCTCATTTTATCAGATATAGGTCTATCATCATTAAATCATGTCATCTGTCAACACTGTTCTATTGATATCAGCTTTGGTAATTGAAAACCTATAGTCTGGTCGACCTATATCTGCATGTGGTCGACCTATATCGGTCAACAGGGCATCTGTGCTCTAGTGACAGTATCAGAAAACATCAGTGGAAATCAGAAGTACAGAGCTGGAAAACCCATAGGAGGCTGCAGCCTACATTCAAACGTGCGTCGGTGGGTGTTACAATCGCTGGAATGTGCAATAACTGATGTGTAAAGATTAAGAATACAGTATTTAGGGGTTACATTTTTGGCTCCGCATGTGGGTTGTAATAGGGTGAGTCTCACAAAACCAGGAATATTTCCCAGTCATATTTCACACCTATAAGTCAAATAAATAAATACACAAATAAAACATGCATGTATATATGTATGTATGGATATTCCTTATAGAAAATGAAGGCCATTTTTATTTGAACCCTGAATGTGACAGTGAACACTCAAAATAAATAAAAAAATCTAAAATAGGTTTTATTTTATTCATTAAGAAATATGTGTGTGTGTGTGTGTGTGTAGTGAGAAAAAGAGATGAAAAATATTTTCATTAATATAATAAACTTCAAATACTACATAAACAACAAATAAATTAATTAATTATATATTATACATTATAAAGTATTTACACATGGCTGTATTTAATGTAAAAAAAAAAAAAAAAGGTTACAGTAATGAGAATCTTTAAAAAAAAAAAAAAATCTTAATGGCCCTAAAATATGCTTTAGTTATGAAAAATATTAGAGAGAGTGAGTGAGAGAGAGAAAGAGATGAAAAATATTCTCATTACTTTAATATACTAATAAATAATAATTATTAATAAATTAATACAACAATTATATAATTTACATTATAAAGTATTTACCCATCATGGTTGTAATTTGTTGTAAAAAATAATTACAATAGTGAGAATCAGAAAAAAACTCTATATAATGGTCCTAAAATATGCATTATTTTATTTATGCAATAGATCTCTCTCTCTCTCTCTCTCTCTCTCTCTATCTATCTATCTATTAACAGTACTGTAGTAGTATAAAATAGTATAAAATAACTTTATACTTTTATATAAAGTAGTATAAAATATCTTTCCAATTTTGGTAAAATGTACTTATTTTCATGACATTCGACCAATAAAGCCAAATGTAGTTCCACACCTGCGTGATGTTCTGAACTGAAGGTGCTGTTTACGAGTACGTGCAGACAGAAAGCAAGAAAACGTCTCCACAGTCACTTGCTCATTTTCTCATAGTGCCGTGACTCATCCTGCCCTCGCTCAATTGGAGAGAAAGCCGGTATTCAACGCTGAATTACCTTAAGCAACCAGCATAAGATTAAATAAATAAGCTTTTCCTGAGAAATGAATGCGACAGAAAGAATAGCGACTGTTATTGCTCAGTCTTACGTAGGAAGCCCGACCGGTGCAGGAAATGCGACATGTTATCATAACAAATATTCGCCGAGTTCCAGTAACAAGCTAAAATTGCTCAAAGCTGCTACCATGGAAATACATCCTGTGCCTGTCATTAGGAAAACGTAATTAGCCATAGCCGAGTCTGTCTAAACACAAGCCCATCAAACAAGAGGCTGTCAGGGCTCTAGTGGGACAACGCTAGCGCTTTGTACACGTCAGTCTGAAGCACAACAGAGCATCAGAGCTCTAGGTCTCGGTTAATTAGGATCGAGGGCCCATGGGATGCACATGGGAGCTGTGCGGCTGACTTCCGCGGGGAGCGAGCTGAACATGAATACTCTTCAGACGAATGTGAAACACCTCCTGTTAACTGCTGGAGATAGAGATGAGAATGCTTGAACAGCAGAAGGGTGGACTAGATGAATAATGCTTCAGGGAGAGAGCACTCATAGCATTTACACATGTTGCACCTTTCCCATGGTCTCCATGAAAGTAAAAAAAAAAAAAACAGAGAAAGAGAGAGAACCAAGCAGCTATGGTCATCTAGAAGAAAACTAGAAGCATCCTTAAATGGGAAGAAAGAAATGTTAAAATCATGAAACTAGAATATAAAACCATAAGGCAGAACTGACCCCTTAAATTCATATAGGATGCCGTTTGTCCCATATTTTAGCATTTTACTCTCAAACAACTAAGAATGCATTAATTGTATTTGAATAAAATGACAGATTAAAATGTAAAACAAAAGAAAGATAGGTGTTAAAAGCAGATTTCACATTTTTTTATGTTTTTTTTGAAAGAAGTCTCTTATGCTGTCTTATGCTAAGTAAAATCAGTAATACTGTGAAATGTTGTTACATTTTAAAATAACTTCTATTTTACTGTAATTTATTCAATGATGCTGAATTTTCCTCATCATTACACCAGTCTTCAGTGTCACATGATCCTTTAGAAATCATTCTAATATGCTGATTTGCTGCTTAAGAAATATTTCTTATTATTACCAATGTCAAAACAGTTGTGCTGCTTAATATTTGTGTGGAAACTGCTATTTTTTCCTGGTTTCTTTGATGAATAGAAATTTATTTGAACAATGTAAAAGTTTTTAAGTTTTATCACTTGTGATCAATTTAACACATCTCTGCTAAATTAAATTATTAGTTTCTTTAAAAAAAAATCGAGATCAAAAATCAAGATGAATGAAAATCAAGGGCAGTTAACTTGCAACTTTTATCTGTTGGGTTTTACACTTTTATCTAAACGGTGATGATATGTTCATTAATGTCTAAAATACAAAGCATTCTAAAGTTGGACTGTTAGTCTGTAAATATTTAAAGTCAAAAACCTTTACACTGCAAAAAATATTTTAATAAGTTGTATATAAATTGTAAATAAAACAAAGATCATTGAAGTTGCTTGAAAATCAAGATCCAGAAAATACTATTTTAGACTTTTTTACTTCGAAAGAAAAAATCAAGTTTAAGTCTATGTATTACTTGCTGGTTCTTGTTTTCGAGTGAAAATTGTTTCAAAGCCGGATGTGTGTTTTTTTTTCTTTAAGTGTAGTGTTATAAATTGCCTTGGTAGAAGCCAAACTGAAATGTGTGTAATGGTAAGTGACACTTTACAATGACCTTAAAACTCATTCAAAGATTTAATGAACTCATAAGCCAAAATCAAAGTGACCGTATCAAATGCTTTCATCAAGCATTGACAGATCTTATTTATAACCTACACATACATAGCTAACAGGCACTGTACTGCGCTGTTCAGCATTTTGATTGTGTTTACAACGTGGTCCCCTGTCACTGTTGTGATATTTTACTTGAAAATATGATGTATGATTATAACAATAATCAATAGACTGATCAATGCGGTGACTGTTTCAATGGTTGTTTTAATATTGGATGTCTTAAAGGGTTAGTTCACCCAAAAATGAAAATTCTGTCATTAATTACTCAACCTCGTGTTGTTCGAAACCCGTAAGACCTTCGTTCATCTTCGGAACACAATTTAAGATATTTTTGATGATATATGAGGGATCTGAGTCAGCGCCGCCACACGCTCGCATCATGGTACTGTCGTGAACGCGCGTCCACAAGTGATGCAGTAGAGACGAAAATGTGGAATAAAGTCGTTATTTTTGTTTTCTTTGCGCAAAAAAGTATTCTCCTAACTTCGTAACTTTACAGTTGAACCACTGATGTCACACGGACTACTTTGTCGATCATCTTGGTACTTTTCTGGACCTTGAACGTGGTAGTTACCTTGCTGTCTATGGGAGGGTCAGAGAGCCCTCATATATCATCAAAAATATCTTAAATTGTGTTCCGAAGATGAACGAAGGTCTTATGGGTTTCGAACAACACGGGTTTCGAACAACACGAGGGTGAGTAATTAATGACAGAATTTTCATTTTTGGGTGAACTAACCCCTTAATGCAGACTGTGAGTCCTAGGTGCTTTCCAATGGGCAAGTGTAGGTGCTCCCCATTGGACAGCACCGATGAACTTGAGTGAACCAGTAAACTTTGGGTGACTTCCAAGAATATGTCAGGGATGGCACAAACAAGTCTGATGAATGGCCTATGAGGACACCTGTGTCCAAGGGGAAGATTGGGCACAGTATTAGGAGAAAAGTATTAGGAGAATGGTTCAAACTAGCAGGAGTCCACAATTAGAAACTATACCAGGACGAGTGCGAATGAGTGTAGCAAAACTAGTGGAGTAAGACCAATCAGAGACCGAGCTACCTATTTTTAGTCTAATAAGACTGATAAGAATTAGGTATAAGAATGGATGTCGGACAAAAGACAACAATCAATTGCGACAAAGACTCAAATGCGGTGACCGTCATCCCGGCTTTTTTGCTTTGTCCAATAAAGTCTTATTTTGACATCTGGAACTCTGCTTCTTGAACTTCATTTACTACATTGAGAAGACCATTGTTTGCTCCACGACACCACCAGAGGTTAAAACAAATCTCAAATGGCATATATTATCTAAAGAACAGAAGAGTGTAACTTCTTTTTCACTTGAAATTGGCAACCATGTGCGACTGTAGAAACCCAAGCGCTCACTTACCTAGTTTCGTCGATGTACACGGCTTCCAGAACCGATGCAGCATATTCAATGTTTTTCCTCAAGTCTACGACATTCACCTCCCCCTTATCCAGCTGCTTCACCAGACATCTCAATCTGATGGAAACCAACAACCACAGTTTCAGTGTGAGGAAATTCAGGAAAATTCCACGTCTGATCTGAAAGCACTGATGCTATTCTTTGACATTCCACTGTCGGTTACAGAAATAGTTCACATTTTTACATCATTTATTCAACCTCGTATCTGTCCAAACCTGTATTAATTTCTTTCTTCTGTGAAACACAAACAGAGATATTCAGAGTTTGTCTCTGAACCCTAAATCACCATCTATTTTCATTGAAAAGAGCGGCTCTGAAAGGAAGTCATACGGGTTTGGAATGACATGAGGGTGTGTAATGATGATAAAATTTTCATTGTTGTGTGAATTTTTCCTTGAAAGCCTACAATAAACACACACAAAGAGATATCTATCCATGACACAGGAGAATGCAATCTGTTTTACAAAAGAAACAAACTGGATAAATTAGACAGACACTGCCAAATCCACACCCACAGAAAAACAAAGCGTTAAACATATAAAATAAAAGATTACAGTTCATCAGCATCTTAATCATCAAATCTCATGAGCCAAAACACTACGCTCGGTTAATCTCTAATGGCACTCACAATAAGACTCACAATTTTTTTGTTTGTTTTTTGTTTTTAATAAGCAAATCAAATATCTTGGCAGCGTTAATGTGAGGTAACCCTGTAAATATGTAGGTCAAAAACAAAGTTAACATTTGACAGTAATGAATTCCGTGTAATCCAATCACACACTGCCTCCCATTCCTTGTTTTTTGAACAGCATCCCTCTTATTGCTCCTGAAAAATGATAGCGTACAAATGATTTACACAGAGCAATGAGATGAAAGCACAAAAAATATGTAAGGGATAATGCACGGCTAGCTGTGCATTAAACAATTTTAATGCACAACGTGGAGGCCAAGAATCACCC